TTTTTTTTTTTTACTATGAAAATGTGTTGCTGGTAATTTTTTTCTAATGTATGTTTATATTTTCATATCTTCACCCCAATTTGTGTGTTCACTATTTGCCCATAGCTGGGACCCTAACAGGTACTACCACCCTGGGTCAAGGTGGACCTGGGAACAACAACAATTATGATTAGAAGCCTTACTGCCGGATGTAGTTTATCGTCATCCCTATGTCAGTTTCCACTGTGCCGATTATTTGGAAATCACTCCGGCACAGCGTTCAACGTAGCGATTTGAGTGCCTGTAGTAGTACATCTATATCTATAATTCTCAAAATGAGTGTATGGACGTGTGTGAGAGTATGTGTGTGTGTGATCGGATGTTGTTTATGCGTTTCCACAGTTTTCGTCCGATTTCGATGATTTTTTTTTTCTTTCTTTTTCTTTTTCTTTTTCTTTCTTTTTTTTTTAATTGCTAATACTTCAAGGCCAGTTTTGAGCTCAAATTGGCTGGAGAAAATTACAACCTTGAAGGTGAAAAAAACTGTTATTTCTTTTTACACTTTGCGCAAAAATCAAAGGCAAAGTTCAATATCTTAAAAAAAAACAAAAAAAAAACAGCGTACAATCAAATTAGAAAGTTGAAATCTAACGCAAAAGAATTATAAAAATAAATATTATATTATAAATAAAAATTATCGTATATTATTATTATGACGGTCCTTGCAAGATTGAGAAGGGCAAAATCGGCCCTTTTCAGCACCCCCCATTCAAATTGTTACCCCCCCCCCAAATCATTTGGGGATGCGCCTCAGTTGCACCCAATTGTTGTTACTAATATTGATTTTTCGGGTGGGTTGACTTTAAACTTAAACTGCTCCAACTCAACGGCAAAAATTCCCATTAATGAAACACCCGGTCGAAGACGGGTTATACTGTTAATAACGCAATATGTCGATATTACGAGAAATGGGTTTCCTAGGTGGGGATTCGCTCTTAAACATAAATGGTTTCCGCCATTGTTCTCTTTGAATAAGTTACTTATTTGTGCAATGTGTAACCAATCCCTAGCGATGAAGGCAACCGTAATTATCTCCCCTTCGAACTACTCGACTATAAAAGAAATGCTAAAACATCATTTATGGGGAGCAGTCAAATTTCACTGGATAAAACTTCACTACAAGCTTAAACATTCCTCTGTGCGTTTTACCCCCCCCCCATGGTAGTTCTGCTCAGGTGACTCACAGGCTGTAGTTTGTCCATCCTTGATATAGACCAAAAGTTAAATCGTAACATGATATAGTTATTTATTTACATTAGTTATATTTGGATTACTGCCCGCATCTTTGTTATTGTCATCATAACTTTTCGGCCGTTTTGCTCGCCGGCAATCATCAAGTGTATATCAACTGACAGGAAATCCTGAACTGAATCATTTACTTAATCAACGGCGGTAGACTGTTCTTGTTCCACTGAACATGTCTCGGGATATCTTGTCTAGTTTTTATTTTAGATTCCATTTCCACTGAGTACGTACACACGTTTCTAGCAAGTATACACAGAGAGGACCCGGGATTGAACTCAGTTACTAATAACGCATTAATCCACAAATATATTGTTCAACAGGACAATTCTGTGGTAAACTTGGAGTTTTAAACCTAGCCTGGCTGCTGTCCTCCTGCTAGTGTTGGTTCACTGCTACTGCGGCTGAAGACCTGCTCTCCTTTGCATATAAATAGTGTAAATAATATTAATAACTCCTCATTCTTTCAGACGAAAATTAATATAGTTACGTTTGAGGGGATTTGCTTAAATTTAGTAGTTTGAAGAAATCCTTTCGAAAGCAGAAACGCATGGCATAATTGTTTTTACATTGTGCCATTCAATTACCTATATATATATATATATATATATATATATATATATATATATTAATAATTACATATACTTATTGCTTAGAGTACGACACAGAGTTTCATGTTTTTCCCATTCATTAGGTACAAAAGTTATACCTGATGAATGGGAAAACCATGGAACTCTTAGTCGTAGTATAAACGTAGGTATATGTGTAATTATTAATATATACTTTATAGTTCTATTTAACTATATCGATCACTGTTTTGTCTACACTATCGAATAGTTATTTGTTCACCTGCATGTGTACGTAATCGCTATATATATGATTGACCATATCTCTTTATTTAGATAATTTCTACATCACTATATATATATATATATATATATATATATATATATATATATATATATATATATATATATATATATATATATATATATATTAACATAAAGATAGACTTAATGTGATGCGTTTCGTCCTTTAAACTTCATCGGACTAAGTTTATGTTTACGTTGATGCGGCTACACATGCGCACACCAACGAGAGATGCTGGGATTTTTAAGCTTTTGAACGTCAGATGAGTCTTTTTAGAGTCCGAATTAAAATACATTTTTAAAAATAAATTCAAACATTCTAAGTTTAAATTTTAATTTAGTCATACTCAATGATTTTTTCTAACGTATGTTTCGGTGAAATGAAAAAAATGTTTTCAATTTCAAATCTTTTCATTTGTACCCACTTCTTAAAATAACGACCAGCATTCATATTTATGATTGTTATTGTGACATTTAAAGCTGTTAAGCTGAAATATTTAACGGCATGATAGGGGAATTTCTACGGATATTTTATTGTCGTCGAACTCACCATGAGCTTATTCAATCATTAACTTAGGAATTAAGATCCATCAGAAAGTCCAAGGGTAGTTCTAGTAATATTATTATTATTATTATTATTATTATTATTATTATTATTGCTATTATTATTATTATTATTAATTACAGTTCATACATTGCGAAGAGCTTCATCTATGAGTGTGATTTACCAAGATCACACAATCATCAATAAAAAATCTTTAGGTCTCTGGGCGGGACCAGGAAAGAAATGAGTATACACCAGAAATCAAAGGAAATAATAATAATAATAATAATAATAATAATAATAATAATAATAATAATAATAATATTCAAGAGCAGAGCGTGATTTAAGAAAAGAAAAACAGCGTTTGATAATATTAAACAATATTTCGACAGAGTGTCTGTCGTCTTCAAGTTATTTTTTTTAAATTAAAGTATAAAAATAGATAAATCTACAAAAAATTATGTCTTTGTACATTTTAATCTGTCAGTTACAAATCTTTACATTTGTACCCACTTCTTAAAATAACGACCATCATTCATATTTATTATTGCTGGGGTAACACTTTGTTAAAGTTGTTAAGCCCAAATATTTAACGATGTAATAGGTGACTTTCTACGGATATTTTATTGTCGTAGAATTCGCCATGAGATGAGACAATCATTAACTTAAGAATTAAGATCCAACAGGGTATGAAAATTGCAAAACCGTGAAAAAAAACATTCGAGAAAATTTTTCACAGATCTTTCTCGTATTAATAATTTGGGAAAACATAGGAATGTTTATAATGGATTTATTTCCTTATACGGCAAATTTCCAAATGACACGACAAAACATTGTAACAGTCAAAGGATATGTCTTTCGACCGGATATATATATGGTTAATAAAATAAAATAAAATCTTTTCCAAGAAGGAACAAAATATACTAATATTTGGTCATCTGGTCAGATTTATGGAAGCTAGTCGGACTGTGAACTTTTCAATTCGCCTTCGTATGCATATTAAATACATATCGAGAAAAATCGTTCACTGCCATTAAAATTTTTTCATTACATTAAAGCAAATGAAGCGGAAGTACGCAGTGTTGATTTTGGCAAGATGGTCATGAGTGGTAAGCAGGATTGCCCAGCTGGGTGTTGCTGGGACATTGCAACTTCCTGCCTGACAAGTCATGATAAGAATGCCGCCACAGGAAGCAGAACATCAAAAACACCTAAGCGATGCCATTCCAAAAAAAAAAAAAAAAAAAAAATACTAAATATAACCATGACAGCATCTGCATAACTTTGGACATACCAAAACTTGGTGGAACGGTGAAGGCCGTAAAATTTGATTGGTTGGGTTAAAAGGTATGAGAAAAAATAATAAAAGTGATGAAACCTGTTTCTAGGTCTTTACATTAAACAACTTGTTTGATTGAATTTTTATTGAAGGAATCTTAAAGACAGGACGTGGCTCAGGGAATAACTCTCCAAAACATATATGCTCGATAAATACCTTTATATTGCTTTTTTCTTATAAGACTTCCCACGAACACTTAAAATTCATGACATTGATATTTGCAGCATGTATTATGTATATCTGTATATCATAAGGTATCTACTGCAGTTTACTGGTTGACAAGCTGGCCTCGCAACACTAGTTTTTTTGTTTTTTGGGGTTTTTTTTGGCATCAACCCAGGCAAGGCAGTAAAGTCACTAAGACGCAAGGGATATGGAAGAATTTGGAACAGAAACATTAATAATAAGCGGGAAGATAAAAGAACAATCAGGAGGACACTAGATAGCGATTGACATTGTATTTGGATTTTTGCAGATTAAAGTTGGCTGGAAAGCATGGATCCGGAAGGAAGTACCACAAGTAAGAAGTGCGAGAAAAGAAACTGCTGGCATAGAACTTACGGTTACATCTAGCTAACTCAACTGTAAATTGATGAGATCTCGACGCCAGTCTAGTATTGCTCTTAAATTCAAAAAGTTTAGGTATCATAGCGAAAAGCTTATCCGAATAATTATCATGAAAGTATTTATAGAAAAGACACAGAGAGGCATTATATTCCATTTAATAATGGTAATATTATTAAAAAAAATGAGATTCCATTTGGCAATGACAATATCATTACCAAATGCAATACGAATTTTTTTATGGATTGATCGATTCGTTTTCTACAGCTTAGGACATTTTTTTCAGCTAGAAAGCATTTTTTTCGATTGCAAGAATTTATTTTTTGAGACAATAATAATTTATTGATACAAGTATTAAGAATTAACACATAGGTTCGGGGAGAAGACACCCGCATATCTGAAC